AAAGAGACGGGTGCGAACATCGAGAAGATCAGACAACGCGAAGAGGGTCTCGGCCAGGCGCCTGATCAGACGTGGAGGTATGACGCGTTCAAACACCTGACCACGTGGTTCACGTACAAGATCCCAGACAGCTCTGAAGGCCGCGACGACATCGTCAACTTGAAGTTGCTCCGTCCGCACCAACGTGACTTGGCCTCCGAAGACATCGTCTTTGGGACGGCATCAGGCCAGCTATCAGTACTCAGCGCCAGCCCTGATTTTGCAGAGACGCGGGTGCAAAACTATAACACTGACCGTCCTGATGTCTTTGATGAAACCAGAAAACGAGCCATCGCGGATCTTTCGATATCATCTTCGAGCACGCCCTTGTTAGCCACCGCACTTTCGGATACGTCGCTAGCGATTTACCCTATCGATCGTCACAACTTCTCGGACCAAGCAATCAAGCCCTCTTCCGCAACAAAGGCCGTTTTAGACGGGAAACCACAGCGGAAAATATGGTCATGCGAGTTTATATCCGATGACGCGGTCGCCGTTGGATGGGGTCCCCACGCCGAACCTATCGAGGTATACCACATTGGGCCCGAAGGCTTTGTATCAGAGCCTTTGCGTCGCTTCAATGTGGCCAGCGAGAGCCTGGCGCATTCAAATCACACGGCAGTTTATTCAATACTCCCGTTACCCAGCACATCACCGGGCGCATCGGAAGCAGGCCACACTTTCCTGTCTGGCGGCTACGATGGTATCGTTAGGCTGCATGACATGCGCTCACCAAGCGGCTTTGAACAGATCTTCTGGGACCCAACAAACGATTCGGCAGTATACTCTCTTGCCGCACAAGGGCGAGAACGCTTCGTAGCAGGTGTAGCTCTACACAGCATGATCAAGGTGTTTGACTTGCGCTTATCAGGCTCGCATGCATATCACACCATTTCCACCCCTAGTCACAGACCAAAAGACAAAGCGGTTTCGCGCGACTCGGCCACCAAAATCATCATCGATGATAGCAAAAGCCAAAGTTCGAGGAAAAGTGGCGGTTGGAATCTTTACCTCAGACCCCGCAACCCTGCTTCACGCACGCAGCAAGGTTCTCCCGTATACAGTCTCTCCATTCCGTCATCCACATCACAAGACCTGTATGCCGGTCTTGAAGGCGCCGTCCAGAGTCTTACTTTTCACGGCATCGCGGATAATTACCCGGATTCTATGCTGTCATACGGCTTGGTCCGACAACGCAACAACATTGATGTTCGCGCATCCTATAACCCAGACGGTGGAGTCATGAACTTGGGTATGTATGAGCAAGGTACGGAAGAAGGAATAGGGATGCAGCTGTTGGTTCAAGGCGGTGTGACGGCTAGCGTCGTACGCAAAGAACGGAGAGACAAGGCAATGGCTAAAGGGATAGACGAACGCTGGATCGACTTGAGGGATGAGCAGGATAGGTGGTCTGCGGGTGAGGTGCCACCGCCACAGGAGGAGCCACCGAATGAGTCGAGAACGGGTGAAAGAAGACGCAGACGACCTGGGAGAGAACGTGGATAAGACTGGCTGGAACGCGTTGTAATTTCCAGCCAATACTATTACGCATTGTCTAGCTAGACTACGGTAATCGTACGCTCCACGGCCCTATCATAGAACCAGGGCTTCCACAAGCCGCTAACAAGTCCAATCCTAACGTAGTCCCCCTTCCTCGTCTTGCTGGGCTGCAGTAAAAGAACATCAAGCTGCATCGCTGCCCAGGTTCCGCATTCGTACAGCCCGAAGCAGATCACAGAATCCCAGTCTATCTCCCTTTCGAGCTTCGTGTATTGCGCAGCATTCGTTGCATCTCGGTAAAGGAAGGGCACCATAAGACATAATCCCGAGTCAAGGTACACGTCCGCCGTGTCTTGCTTGTCATCGGACGTCTTGTACCATGAAATCAAGTCACGCCCAGGAACCACCGGCCCATTGAGGCGGATCGATGCATGTCGAACTTTCCCGTAAGGATTGGATGTGGCCAGGTCAACCTCGAAGCTTTTCAGAGTACATATATTTCTCTTAGCGTCTTCACGGCCTTTGACAACAGGACGCACATGCGAGCTCCATGAGAACGTGGGACCCAGCACGTCAACGTCTTCGGGAAAAGTCCAGCGCCGGTAATCAAGGCCTGGCTCAATGTGCCACGCGAGTTGGAATACGATGTCTTTCTGCCAAAGTCCAGCGATGAATTCGCCAGCCTTCAAGTGCGCTAAAGAGGCGGCAAGGCCTGAGAGCGCCGGAAGTGAATCGCCTCCGTAGGTGAGATTCATTTTGCTGTACTCCGACGCAATTAGCATCCAATCGGCTCCAAAAAAGAATTTCTTGGGGTCAATGTTCGGCTCGTCCCGCAGGTCTAGAAAGGTGCCGAGTCCGTCGTCTTCGCTGTAGTCAAAGTCCTCCTTGCCAGCTGCGCCACACTCACATTGTCTTCCAATCTCGCACTGGAAGACGATCTCGGTGGGCAGGAAGTGGATAGTGCGGCGGGCTAGATATCTCTCTTGGAAGCACCAACCCCGTGAATCCAATGCGTAGTGGATATTTGGTGCCTTCCAGTCACAATTGTGGCCTTCAATTTGTCTTGCTCGCACTTCAAAGGTTCCCTGGCCAGGCTGTGTGTACTTGAGAACGAGCGGTGGCTTCGAACTCTTTCTCAAGAAGCCATCTCTGCAATCTTCGGTGGCGGTGGCTGATACGACGACGTACGCAGTCTCGTAGATGTCGGCCATGATTGATGCCTCCCTCGCCCAATCATCATCGTCGTCTTGGACGATACAGATCCGATCGATCCAGAGGTATTCGAGTCCCAGTCCTCTAGTAACGCGAATAGCGTCTTGGAGAGTTTGAGGAAAGTCTGATGTTACCAGCTTCTTGTAACGTTCTTTGACATTAGCGTTCAATGTTGCAGAGTTCGCGTCTGCTCCCCAACGATAGGAAAGCGCAGCGAACTTCACCGGAACTCTCGGTGAGCAGATCTGTGCCTTGTGCTCCTCACTCTTACTCAGCTTTATCAGACGTGAAGGCCCACGATAATGACCCGTTGGAGCATGATCGTGTGTCTTCTGACAGTGATCAATCCACTGTTTCATGACATCAATCGAGGCTTGTGAACCAGCATCTTGATCAAACTCTCTCATGAACGGGAAGGGGCCGGGTCGAATGGCAGCTATAGGTTCTGTTATAATATCAGCAAAGACCCTCCAACGAGATGAGAGACCTACCACTTGAGTACAGCTGAACGTGAATGTCTCTACATTTGCCATTCTCTACGCTTTCTTGAAAGCATATCTGTTTGTCGCTTTTATCTCCTTGGAAGCATATTTTTATCAACCTGCAACGCGGTGCAAAACGTTGCTGGCATTTCCGCAGGATGTTGCAAAAGCCGCAGTCTTCTCTCAAGTTTGAAATCTTGATTTCCCGCCTCGGAATTCGAAAATGTTTCTCTCGGTGGTATTCCTCTCGGCGGATCACCTCAGTACTTCCGAACTCACGGCATGCGGGGCAACAGATTCCGTAGAAAGAGAACTCTTCGTCAGACGCTAGAGCAAGGTGTTCCGCGTGATTAGCGATACTCCTTTCATCTCCTCCGTAGACTCTTCTGGCGAGAGACCTGCACGAAATTAGTACGTGCCCCTTCAAAGCGATCAGATTTACTCACTCAGCCTTCGTGCGACGCTGTAAGTACGCCTCCGCGTCTCTGTCTACGTTCGTGGACTCTAAGCATACGCGACCCAGCTTTGTCGTTATTTCAAGAAGATGTTTCTCGGATTCGTACGGATAGAATCTCTTGACCATGGGCCTACGGAAGGTTAATACAACTCAACATTGCATGCAAATCGCCTTACAAGAAGTCTGAGTGGCGCATTGAGGACGCCCCCGCAACTGCCTGTTCGCCATCATAAGGCGACGTGCGCATGGGTGTTCGTCTCATGACAGCAAGAATTTAGACAAATACGGTGAAGGTCAACTCCACCTTTTGCAAGTAGCAGATTTCTTGAAGGCATGATGAATGCAGTGCTTTTTAATACTCCTCTCGCGCGTATTACGCGCCTCGTAGGCACACCGGGCAAGGCTGAAACAGGTTGAGGCGACAATCCTGATCCCGGCGCTTACACTGTGGCGGTGCCATGTAGGCGCTTAACCGAAGGCCATCTCACAACAGGAGCATGAAGAACGGCGTATCCGCGTACCCGCAGTTTCAGTATAGATGTTTGCCATTCCATCGGAGTACACACATATTTTATTTTCCCATTTTGCTGCAGCATGTATCGGTCAAACAGGTGACCGGTCAGCTGACGTCACGCCAGTCCACCCCGATCCAACACCCTCCGTACCCAGCATGGTCATGAGCTGTTCAGCCGCAAACACACAAACCTCAAAAGCAAACCTCCTCCCTAATGTCGATGTTTCTTGGCTTTTGTGGTAAAGCTCATCGCCGTGAACCTCCTTCTAATGTCTACGTATCCAACCCTGCTCAAAACATGGATACGGTATGGCATGGCAACATACCCCTCCATCTCATCCACCTCGTCCATCTCACACCTATACCAGCAATTAACGCAAGACCGCGTGGCCATGTGTCTCAGATATCGTGATGTGGTGCTACCAGCGTGGCAGTTGTCTTGGCGTAAGCTGTTTTCGCGGCTTCCGCGCGTGAACAATAGCCCGATGGAGTAAGATACTTCGTTTGACGCTAACTGTGGAGACAGCTGAAGGTTGATTGTATCGTCTTGGTTATTCTCCTTGCGTGGTAGTTTGCTGGTCTAGTCACGACGCGCGTTGTTTCTCGTGGGCACGGAAACCTGTTCATGACTGCGCTGGAGGAAGACGTTCTGGCACTGTTTTCTCTGAAACTCTTGCACTAGACAAGCTGCCGCGGACTAAATTCCATGCGTCGTAGAAGTTCAGATGTAAACCAGCTGTCCAAAGTCCGAAGGATCGCATCCAAGCGCGTACTGCTAGTTGTTCATCACGTCAGCTTACTTGCCGTCTCCACTCAAGCCATACGGCAAAAGACGGGGGAAGAGGATCTCGAACCTCAATGTGGAGCAGTCCGCCGGCCCTGATGATACGGCGAGTACGAGTACGAGGTAGGCAGACTCACGTTGGGGTTGCCAGGCGCCTGGCTGTGGGATGCGTAGTTTGCGCCATAGCCATAGACGTCTGTATTTGACGAGAAGTCGCGTTGGAGATGTGACGGTGATGGTGTATGCGGGTGCTGAAACGATGGCTGTGCTGGATGGGTGTGGTACCGGTATATAGACGGGCGAGTGGACGCTGTGGCCTGCGCAGAGTAGTCTAAACTCGACATCCAAGCTGACGGCATGTTCCAAGGTATGCTCGCTGGTGGAGACGGAGAGTAAAGGTGCGTGTTCCAATGAGGTGGGTAAGAAGGATACGCTTGGTCGACTGCGAGGTGATGGGGATCAAGGGATGCGACGGTGGCTGCTAGTATAGCTTCGTTTGCAACTGCGCTGCTTGCGCCAAAGACACGGCTTGACGGCATCTGGTAGGGTGACGAACTCGCGCCTACAATGTCGTAGTCTGCAGACGGAGCGCGCGGGTACACTTCGTGCTGCTCAGGCGAGGGTTCTGACTCCCGACGGCCTTCGGAGTCGTCCCTGATCAACTGCTGGAGGTATTGGAGCTTCCGTTTGCGCTTCTCTCCTATACCGAATGTTATTAGTTGTGGTCATCACGAGCGACGACCTGCAGGTTGACGTACGATAGTTACGTGAAGCTATCCTGTTCTGCTGCTTTCGTATCTCGCTATTGGGCTTCTTAGGCTTCTTCCCAGGTTCCTCACTCACTGCCGCTCGCTTTGGTCGCGCATCGGGTGTAGGAAGAGACTGTGACGATAGAGTAGTGGGAGGAGAGTCCATGGCGCCAGCTAGTGTGTTCGGTAACCAGAACGATGGGATCAATATCGCCCGAAAGCGTTGGCGAAGGCTTGCTTTTGAGCCGCTGATCAGTTCCTAATTGCAAGACGGCAGGGTTACATCCAAGCCGTAAAGAGAGCTTAGCCTAGACCCTACATCGACGTTGGCTAGGTAGAGCCAGGCGACGGCTTCCGCTGCCGTGCTTTTCCTGGGCACTGCTGATTAAACACAACAAGAATAGCAACAGCCCCAATGGGCGGCGGAGGCAAGTGACGCACTTCACCACTATGCTGCCATCAACCATGGTCTTAACTTCGCCGCACGGCATTAGGATATAGTCATCCGAGATGCCAAATCCAAAGGGTATTCATTTCGAGGACTTAGTCATGGCTGCCGGGAATGCTGTGCGACGGATGCGGATTGAGAGCCGCTCGGTCACTCAATCCCAAGATTACTTGTTTCCGCATTGGGCATACTGAACGAACAGAATAGTCATGGGAGTGTGCGTTTGACAAAGAGCTGAATCATTGCGGAATCGCGATCCGATCTGGCGTATGTATGGTGGATGCTGAGACGCACGAGAGCAGGCGGAGCAGGCGGTAGGGACATCCACCTCATCTCCACCGCCTGCACCATCACTCACCGAAGAAGCTGAATCATCTGAGATGCTTCGTTTTGGGTGAGGTCTTCCAACAGAAGTTGGACGCCAGTGTGCCGAGCAGTGTTGGTGGTACGGTGCGGTGTCTCCCACCCGCGCACCTAAACAGGAGGCGGTTATAACTCGACTCGCGCTTCGGCTTTCGCTCTGAAGATAGAATTCTTTGTTCTATCATTCCAGGCGGTTCTCATAGCTTCGTGAAGTCTCGCTGGCACATTTGACACGTCACCGCCACAACTTCCGCCGGCAAGCGCAAACAGACCTCGGTCCAGCAGCGCATGCGATCTCAGGCGTACGATGACGAGAGGAGTACCAGGTAAGTAGCTAGCTGGCACACGAGACTGTTGAGCTGAGATGGTACTGTACCTGTGGCGTGTCAACATTGTAAGCTACTAGCCAATAATGGTAGGAGCTAAGGTGCTGCGTAAGCAGTCGCGAGACAAGGAATCTCACGCCGCCTTTTCGAAGGAAAGGGGCGAGCTGTGCGTTATTCATAACTTACAATAAACTTACAACATTGGGTGTGGCGGTCTTCTGTCACGTTCAACTGCTGAGAATGATGCCGGCGGTGGCGCGAAACAGATGGGCGACTCCCAACTTCCGAAATTCGCATGCCCCCACCCAACCAGGTCCCCTCAGATAAGAGGTATTATCAACATAAAACCTTAACGCGAGGCGATACTTTGGATGAGTCGATTTCATCCACTTCCGCCAATGTCACTGCGTGACGGGAAGCAGACGAGCCACTGATGACTTCCGAAACTCATATCATTTGTATCCAATCAGATAGTTTCGAATGAGAAATATTGCCAATCCAAGGCCTGGCATTTTCATGGCAGGTGACGTTACGTGACTTGCCAAGAAGAGGCCTCAAGCGCAGTCGCGTCACCACGAAAAAGGATATGCGCGTTTGATTCACGCAAGATGGAGCTGCGGTGCGATAGAGAAGCTTTACTCAAGGTGTACGCTTCTGCTGATAACTGCGCAAGACGAGACAACACGACCTCGGGAGTCTCCAGTCCAGCTCGCAAAAGCCACTTTTCATCGTATCATCAACACTGCGACTCAAGTTACAGGCTTGCCGTTGACAAACAACGCAGGAAGCGACAACATGTCCTCGCTTGGAGGCTCCAAGTCGGCAAAAAGGGCAGCCTTCCATCATATCATCAACACTGCGACTCAGCGTACAGTCTCGCGGTTCAAGCCTCAAAGCCAGCAAAAAGGGCAACTTCCCCTCAAATCATCAACAGCGTTACACCCAAGAACCATCTCAGATCACGCTCTTCAAAGAAAACACAACACAGAGCCACCACATCGACACCACTAATGCCTCTCCGGCATCTGATGCTGCCTCTTGAGATAACTCGCCTGCAACACTTGTCAGCTGCCAACATCCTCACATCATCACGTTGTTTCAGATTGTCTCTCTCACCTCATCAAGTACAGCCTGTAATCTGCCTTCTTCGGCGACAACGCGCTTGACGGTATCGCTCACATTGCCTTCGAGACCGACGTTGCAGCCGCGTGGCAGCCATCGGAGTATGTGGAATGCGTTGGCGTATACGCTTGTCGCTCCCGTCACCCGTCCGTCGTCTGGTAGGCTGGCTTGGAGGATGATTTTGAACGTCTTGAGACCCCAGCAGTAGCGCAGGCCCAGGCGGACGAGGTCGGCGAAGCCGTCGAGGATGTCGTGGTGGGAGGGTATGGTGAGGACGACGTGTTTGATGAGGCTGCGCGAGCGCTGGTGGAGGGTAGATAGGGTGTGGATGCCGCTTGTGAGGCTGAGGGTGAAGACGTTGTCGCTGTACAGGACCTGACGCGCCTCCCTGTATATCAACTTGTTCAGCCGCAGGATCTCGGGGACGATGGGGTCGTCTAGCGGGATGCGCTCGGGACCCTGTCTGGGTCGATGGAAGGCGTAGCCGGGGCCGGGCAGTTCGTGACGGGGCATGTAGGGGGCGTAAAGGTTGTTTCGGCGCGGTGCTGCGAGAAGGTCGTCGCCGTCTTCGGGTTTCTCGGGCGCGCGGTCGGCATGCAGGAGGAGCGGCTCTTCGCGCACGAGCGCCATGTGGTAGATGTGGATGCGCAGTTCGGCGGGAAGCTTCATGAAGGGGAAGAAGTTTGCCGTTGCAGTCTCGGACGTCTCTGAGGTGTCGACTGGAGGCTCGAGTTGCGATTCGGTCAAGGTGCTGGGTTCTGGCGTGAGAAGACCGCTGCGCGCTCGCGAGCTTGATGCCACAGCAGCTTGAGGCTTGCTGCCGACCACATCGTCCCCAACCGGGCCACGAGTACGAAGCTTCTTAGGCTCTGGCGCATGCGCTTCCACTTCCTCCTCTTGGATGGCACGCTTTCGGCTACTCATGGCGGACACCGGGCGTGTTTGTCGGCGCATTGCCTCGTCTTCTGAAGTCATGTAGGCTCTTGGGTAGAACGATATGTCCTAAAGATGGCGATGCTAGTAATCGTATTTGTTTTGTCTGTATATCAAACGATGGCTGGCTGGCCGTGACGCGTCGAAGTCGCCAAGTACGGTAGCGTGAAGTCTGCTGGCCAAGCGTGAGGTCTAGACAAGGCGAACAGGTGCGCGGCATTCGATAACATTCAAAGTGAATACAATGGCAATAAGCCAAAGCGGCGCAAACAATAGCCGGCAATGAGGTTCGCGACACGGCAAGGTGCAGGTGGACTCGACGCGGAGGTGGATGATTGCGGGGTTGGATAGCGTGTAGAACGGCTGTGGGCCCAGCAAACGTCAGTGCGCATGAAGATTGCGTCACGTGTGCCTATTCTACAATAGCTTCGCGATTCACGGTGAGAGGGCGTAAATGGACAATAGGAAAAGGACGTTGCAGTCTTGTGTCAGTACCCGATAGCTTCCAAGTTTTCACTTCACGAAGAGGAGCGTGAAAAGAGAATAGGGATTAATGATTTCAGTCTCGATCTAGACATTTGCGCGGCACCACCAACGAGCTGCACCATCATGGGTTGAATAGTCTCATCAAGCTATCTACACTAGCCACCACTGACTCGTTGCGCTCGTCGCTCGCCTCTATGCAAACCGCAGTGGTCGGGGGAAATAATAATAAGGGAATCAAAATGACCACGCGTCCCCACCAGCCTCGTCCAAGCTCCTCTCTGCCTTGCCATACGTGAATGCGGGTTTGGGCCTCTGAGAGAGAGGGGATCTGGGGCAGACCTGAGTGCCACGCTTCAGCATCGAAGAATGACCCGAAGCGCAAGCTTTACCCTCTGGACTAGCACACTATAAGTCTATTAGGTTGTTGGCACCAGGCTGACGGGGTTGCTGCTGCTGCTGAGGCTGAGCACCGAATGGATTCGCGCTGCCGTAAGGGTTGGCGCCAAAGTTGCTCGCTGGGCCAGTTGCCGCGGGCATCATGCGGTTTTGCTGCGGCATGCCGGTGAACTGGGAGTTCAAGAACGGGTTGTTACCGGTAGCGTTGGCGTTGACCCGGTTCAAGCCCGCGCCAGCCGAGTTGACGAATGTTCCAGGAGCTGTGTGCTGAGCTGGGATACGCATGTTTCCGACGTTGCCGAAAGTGTCCTGACCTTCGCCTGTTGCAAGAAGCGCGTTGAGTCTGGCAGCGGTCGGGTCCATCTCTTTTTGTGGCGCCTGTGGCTGCTGCTGCTGCTGCTGTGGTTGCGCTGCTGGCGCAGGAGAGAAGGATACTGGAGGGTTGAACGAGGTGTTGTTGAACTGGGTCTGGGTCTTCTGCTCGCTCAACGAGTTCAACGTTGGTTGCGTGAAGGTCTGAGTGGGCTGCGGTCGGTTGAAGGACTGAGCGAATGGGTTGTTGGAGCCAGTGGGCTGCGGCTTGAGCGACTCTTGAGTCTGGTTGCTTGCCCACGGGTTATGACTGCCGGGTTGGAGTGCATTCTGATCTTGCTGCGGTTGTTGCTGTTGCTGCTGACCCATGTCACCGAAGCCTCCACCTCCAAATTGACCATACGGGTTGTTGTTGAACGAGGTTTGCTGGGGTTGGATCGTGTGCTGGGGCTGCATGTATTGCTGCTGTTGCTGCTGAGCGCCGAACTGATCGAAGCCGGTAGGTTGTGGCATTTGGGGCTGCTGTTGGAAGCCACCGTAGCCGCCGAAACCGTTCTGGAAGCCAGTTTGCTGAGGCTGCATGCCCGTGGGCTGCGAGTATGCGTTGTTGAGGAAGCCAGTGTTCTGAGGCTGCTGCTGGTTCTGGTCCATGAGGTTACCGAACCAGTCCACTTGGCCCTGCTGCTGGTACCCCTGGTTGTTGCCCGTGGGCTGGTAGGCGTTCGGCTGTGCGGTGGTTTCGCCAAAAAGTAGGTCGGCGTTGGTCTGCTCGAGTTCCTT